ATACTTTATCTATATATATATTTATATATATTTATATATATAAAAATACGACTTGTATCGTAGCTCGAATACTGCTTTGGGGGACAGGACAAAATGGGGGCAATTCTCATATCCATATCACGGTGGTTTGGTCGGTTGAAACGGCCCATCTTGTTCACTGACTGAATATACCTGTAAATCCCTACACCCCTCACTTCAAACTTGCTACCTTCTGCGCAGGAGGTAATAACAGAACTGATCGCATGGGTGGAGGAGTCTCTGGGCGAAGAACCAGGTATGTCCTTACCTCTACATGTGTAATTCAGAAGTCTTAACCTAAACCAACCTGTACAGTGATTCTCCTGATGGCGTTATTCGCTTGTACCGAGCTACATTGACCTCTCACTCTCCAGGCGTGTTCGTCAAGGACAAACTAGCCCGAAACCAACCGTGTTGTGTGTAGTTGTGCTTGCCGTAGACGTATGTAGGTAGTACTTTCTCGTATATAAGTTCCTCTGAATCGGTTGGTTGCTTTGTGAGCTGTACAGTCTAAGGCGCGCTGCATAGCGGTACTTGTTGGTGCGCTTGTGCCTACCCATTGTCATGTCAATGTTCGGTACTATTTCTATGCGAGTGTCGTCATCTGTCTACTGTTTCTTTGTTGTACAGAGGTATTTCGTATCTTCGTTGGTTGTCTCGCATGTCAACTGTTCGCTCAAGGTGTCGACATAACATACATGTACATGTTACAACATAAAAAACACACATACATGTACATGTAACGTAAAACGTACACATCCATACGTTTAACGTAAAACGTACACACCCATACGTATAACGTAAAACGTACACACCCATGTATCTACCACCCAAAACGTACAACGTGCATACACATATAACTACTCCATACAAAGTAGACATATATGTAGCCACCGCATAGAACACACACACATGTGCAAACGTTTGATGCGCGTGATTCAGACGGACCGTGTTTCTGCCAGTCTACAAATACACACAAGCCACTCACGAGGTGTTTTCTTTCAATTATGCGTAGGTGTCAGGATACCCAGCCGACAGGCATCAGTAAGGGGTGTTTCAAATGAAGATGGTTCGCATACGAGCATATCCCTTGAGGCCAGTGAAATGTTGGATGCAGCTTTCGAAGCGCGGAAGGCTAGTGTAACTAGTGTCTAATATAGTAAAATAAGTAATACAATTCATA